GTTTTCCATTCTGTAGTGAGTTAATATTATGGCGTGTAGATCCTGTAGGTCCATTATCTAAATCTGGTGGTATAATAGAACTAGCTAGGATAAATGCTCCCTCAGTCTCAGCTTTTGCTAATGTGGCCTGGGTACCAACACTTCTTCCAAGGTAGGTTGACAATTTTTACCACTTCCTATATATATATATATATAATATATATATATATATAGTTATTTGATAGTTATTTTTAGATGTGAACTGTTGAATATATGTTAATTCATTGTGAGATCTCCAAAATATTAAATTGAAGCAGACTTCCATGAAACTATTGTTGATAGTTCTGTTGTATTTTTCAGTACATCATTGGGCTCCTACAGTAATTCACCTAGTGCATTGTTTGTAGCATCAGATGGCTCCCGTTTAAGATTATATCAAGCTTTAATAGATGCTAGATCATTATTATCTGATTCACAGAGTAAACAAGAGGTAAACAAATATAGAAGTAGATTATTTAGGAATGGGAAAGGAGAGAACTGTGCAGCCTGCTTAAATAGCAGTGGCATTTTGATAAATCATTTGGTGGAGGGGCTAAGTATGGGCCACAGATTTTAGTGGAGCCAATGGCACCAAGCATATGATATGAAATTCAAAACTGGAGCCAAAAGCGGAACTGCCTAATTTTTTTAATGGGGATTAGAAACATAATTGTGTGAATAAAAATATTGTCAAAAATCAAAGATGATTTATGACAAGAGCAGAAGATCATTTGATGAAAATTTTTGATTTGATGATGGATATCTAATCAATAAAGCACTGCACAAAACATGTCATGCTTATACGAATATTATTGTATAAATATAGCTTTCCTGTGTAAGAAATAACAACATAGCACAATATGGATAATATTTATTTTTAGGGTAACATTTAATAATATTAAAATGTAACTACATGTACTTGTTTTTTTTTTTCAGACTCAAGGAATGAGTTTTTCTAGTACGAGTTCTAGTTTTAAAGTTGATAATAATACTAGTAAATTACCTAGTGAATTATTTAATATAGTTAGTGAACAATCTTCCTCTAGACCAGGCTGTATCATAGAATTAGAGGGTATTAACGATGCCATGCAGGTTGGTTAGGTTTCATTCTTATTGTTATATTGTAGTCTTAAGATATCGAGCTATCAAGAGTTATCTCCCTTTTAGAGAAAGAGGTAGTGAGCCTGACTCAAAGAAAAAGGCCAATTTCACAAGGTGCAAGATGCTTTTGCTGCTCGATGGAATCAACTCCTCACATGGATATTAATGTTCACTTGACATGTCATGGCCAACCTTAGCAAGTGTGTTATATTACAGGATTGGCAGAATGTACAGTTATTACACGTATTCCAAGAACAGTTAGTTACTGGTAAGATGTCTTCACATGATGCTGCCACCATGGGAGGAGCTATAGTTGATCTACGAAATGTAGGAGTATTTGAAGAGAATTTCTATCTAGTTGTATTAGAGAAGATGGTAGAGGGTGGTAGTGTATTACACATGTGGAAAATCACGATCTCTTCGCAACCTGGTGGTGGACATGAAGGTAATATTTCAAGAATAATTTTAGCGAAAAACTAATATTTTCTTATAAGAATTCAGCAAATTTATTGAAATTCTATTCTTAATATTTAACATAATCAATTAATGTATTTTCCTTGCAAAAAAATAAATTCTAAAACTTCAGTAGGGACACCAGCTGAAATATATCAGTTGTCTGAAGATCGTACAGTGTGGAACTCTGGATTAACCACATGTGTAAGGTTTTAATATTTCTAATTATGCCTTTATTATAATATCTATCTTAAAAAGGTTTCATCTTGGATAGAATGTGACAAGAAAATACTTCTTCTTTTGCCTGAAAAGAAAAGTTTTTGACTGAAACCACATTTGAACAATGCTTAAATGCTGTATATGAAATTAAATTATTTCTATTGAATTTTTTAGGATATGAAAATAGTCAGTATTCTGGTAGTGTATTTGAAGCAGAATATGATACTGGTACTAGTTCTGGTGATACATCACCTGAAGATATGAATCCTAGAATGTCTACTGTTATGACCATGTCTATCACTACTACTAAGGTACCATTTACTAATTCATCTATTTAGTATTTATTGTTTGATATCTAATTCAGACTGTAGGTTGATATTGGTATCCTTATGTCATTTGTGTAGTTATATCAAATAATTGGTAGTTCTGGGTTATAATCTCATTATACCAGTTGATCCAGCTGTAAATGGGTATGGATAATTTGGGAAATCCTTGTCAAGACAGGAGCATGGAATGTTTGTTTTTCTTATTTTCTTAAGACGTCCCTCTTTATTGACCATTGGGTTTTTCATTTTTCCATTGACTGTAGGTGTGTACACAATCATTAGATCTACCAGATGATGTTGATGTTATATGTGCTACAGTGTCTGCTGGTCATTTGAGTTCAGCTTCTATCTATCCAGCCTGTTTCGCTCCCTATCAACTAGTGACAGCCTGTACAGATGGTGAAATAAGATTCTGGAAATGTGACTTGATAGATCTAGGTGAAGGTAGTCTTGGTTTAACCAGTACTAATATGAGTTGTTTAAGTGTAACAAGCTATGAGTTTTCAATGGACAATGAAGGAAAGAACATCAAGCCACATGTTATAACTGAAGTTAAAAGTCATCCACAAGATGTGACGTTTAATTGGTCGGAATGGGAGATGATGAGCCCTGTTCATGCTTCAAGCTCTATTGCTTTAACTGGTAAGATAGTATTATATTTATCAGATGACATTTCAAACTATTTGTGAAAATCATACCAGAATGAATTCTATTGTAAAAATGTAATGCTTTTCAAGTTGATTTAATATACTCTATTTTTCAAAATTGTGTAAAATATTTGTTTAAAAAGTAATCTGTAAAGCTCTTGCAATAAATAACATAATAAACAAGCTTGTATACACTTGGATATATATTTCTTGTATTTTAGGTCGTCCAATAACCATCAGTTGTGCATATAGTGGTAGATTTTCTGTAGCCTATAGATATGGTCATATTACAACCCAGACTGATAATCTAACTGATAAATTTGTTAATCTATGTGTTGCTATATATGAATGTGAATCCACAGGTAAGACTGTTCTGTGATGCTACCATTTAAGAAGTTTGAATTTTGATGCTGAAGTCTTAAACCAGTGAAATAAATAGACTGAAAGATGTTGTTTTGTTAGTTTAACCTTATGTTTTCTTATTTCCAGGGGGATCTGAATGGGTTTTAGAAGATACAATAGAATTAAAGAATATCAAGATACCAGATCCCAAGTCAGAAATAGATTTAGATTTAATATTAAATCCTGATAAAAACCGCCGTGATAGTACACCTGGTGGTATATCTCCTTCTTCTTCCATAGTAAACATGACCCGGACTAAATCAGTACCCAGTTTATGTACAATACAAACTGTACGAAAATCTATAGCTGAGCAAGGTAACAGACTTGGTGTTTTACAACAGAAATCACTTGTACAGCTAGACTGGGTATCAACTGAAGATGGATCTCATATTTTGACAGTTGGTGTTGGTCCAAAAATACTCACTTACTCTCAAGTTTCAAATGAAATAGCACAAGCATCAACTAAAGCCATGTCCTCACTACAAGAGAAGCAACCCAAAGAACAAGTGAAGCGAGCTAGACCACTACTACAGAAGTCTAAATCTTTAGTGATGGAAGATTACCAAGAGGAGATCAGGTGGATGAGATTACGAGCAGTAGAACTAAATACAGCAGACGGATTACCACCATTACCCATGCATCTATCCTGGGTTCGAGCTGGTATACTTGTCATTGGTATGGACAATGAAATGCATGTGTATTCCCAATGGAGAGATCCTCTTGCTCCTGATGATGATGTGGCTGACAATAAAGATGACTTCAACATTGATAAACGCACATTAACTGAAGCCAACTTAACCCAATTTACAACTGGTAGTGTCCGCAATAATTTCAACAAACGATCAACATTTAAAGCTTCATATTCCATGCCAAGTTTTAAGCATGCCAGTAAAAACTTCTCACATGTCAGTCTGAAGAAAAAGGAATGGCAAAAATCTGAACAAAATTCCACGACTTCTAAAAGTAGTTTACAAAGAAGTGATAGTTTGACTAGTTTATCTGTGATTCATGATTTTGGATTGTTTGAGGCTGCCAGAATGGCTAATCCAGTTTTACCTCAATATCACCCAAAACAATTAATGGAATTGTTAAATTTTGGTAAAATAAAACGTGTTAAAGCTATTTTAGCTCATCTAGTAAGATGTATAACTGGTGGTGAAGGGATGCAGTCTGTATTTGTTGATGATACTGAAGATGATGGAAGAAGATTCAGATCTCACAGTGTGTCTGTATCAGCTGTAGGAAAAGACAACCCAGTGATAGTAGAGGATGTGTCCAACTTTGCTGAAATAAATTCCATTCCACCATTACCAATGTATGCTTTACTGGCTGCTGATGCAGACAACTCTGGTATTAACATGGAGATTGCTAAATCAGGGGCAGTAACTTCACCTAATAAAGCACAACAAGACTACACTGATTTATTTGTCACCAATGTAATGGATGATGAAGAATTTGATATCAATGATTTATCAACTTCAGCAGATAGTGCTGGAGGGAAACGTAGCAAACTTTCTTCAAGTACTCCAGCTCAAAACCCTTATCTATTTATACCATCTCAAGCTAAAGTATTAGCAGATCATCTACTTCAAGTACAGTTACCAGGTCTATCCAGTCTTGATCAGATGTACCTCATGGCTCTAGCTGATACTGTAGCTAGTACTAAAACAGACCTTGCTGAACAAATCTCCAAACCAGAACAAGGTTGGTAATTTTTGATGATATAATTCTTATTTTAAGCAATGTCATTTAAAAAAATTGCTGAAAAATGTATCACAGCAGTGAAGGGCCTGGAATACCAGTTTGTCTGTGGCCAAACAGCTTAGCAGTCCTCTTGACAGACAATCCATACCGATGGGTTCAATATGAGTTAGATAAGGTCCTTTCTTTATTATTTTCTCAAAGTTACTAAGCAAATAAATTTCATTATTATTATGCTAATATAATTGCCAATCCAAAAGTTCATTTAAGCTGATATGACGTATTATTTTTTCAGATGAAGCTGCTGTTGAAGGTGAACCAAGCCTATCTCTAGCAACTGAATCTATGGATGATTGTGGTTTAAGATTTCTATTAGCTATGAGACATCATATCTATCTGTTAGGTACCTTATTACCAGGACCACGTAGAGCATTGGCTAAAAATGGTCTCAAATCATTTAACCTTGTTTGGGCTTTTCATTCTGAAGCTACAGAGGTAAGTCACAAAAGATGAATTAATTGTGGCAAAATGAAATAAAATGTCTAACTTAAAAGTACAAATGAAGACCGAAACATGATCTGTGGTTCATTAGCAACTGTTAAAGAATATTTTCAATAAGTCTAATTTATAATCAGCTATGAGAAGTAAAGGTGTACACAAACCTTATCTGTGTCAAATTTGTTTGTTAATATATTAAATGGTTATTGTTTCTCAGGAACTGTTATCCTTTATACCAAGTATGAAGAAAGGTGAGCCAATATGGGAAGAATTAAGACAATTTGGTGCTGGTTGGTGGGTTAATAACCTCCCACAATTAAAGAAAGTCATAGAGAAGGTAAAGTTCCCTGTATGTTATTATTTTAATCTCCGGTCTTGCTCTGAAAAATGTTAGTGCTTATAAGAAAGAACCAAGCTACTTTGACTTATAACTTCAATCTTTACCAGGACCTTGTTCCTCAAAAAATTCTGACAATAAAAATAAGTTGTTAGTATGGAATTTCATATTGAGGAATAGGTCTACCATGCTTATAACAAAATTAATCATAAAATGTTTTAATAACAGAGTCCTGGATTTCAATATATATGTTCAAATTTGATTGACAATTTCAGGTAGCAAAGTCAGCTTTTCAAGCCAATAAAGATCCATTAGATGCTGCACTGTTCTATTTAGCTATGAAGAAGAAGAATGTATTGTGGGGATTATACAGGTAAGTTTTGGATTATCTTTGTTTATTGTACTGTTCTTTGACTTTCAAGAGTATTTTGATAATTGAGAATGGATTTATTACAACATTTACACTTATAGTATACACCATTGGTATCAACTTGCAAACGACTCTCTGAAAGGGATAACTACCTGCTTTTGTTTAAAGCAATGTGACTATTTAATGATTGGTGTCCTTTGAAATTTTCAAAAATCACTTAAATTTGTCCTCTTTTTTTCACATGCTATCTTACCTTTGTAGATCTGTGGATAATAGAAAGATGAGTGACTTCTTTAAGAATGATTTTACTCAAGAAAGATGGAGGAAAGCTGCTCTGAAAAATGCATTTGCTCTTTTGGGAAAACAAATGTTCATGCAAGCAGCTGCATTCTTTTTACTTGGAGGATCCTTGAATGATGCCATCAATGTAAGTTTTCTACCTTGTTACTCAAGATTTAATGATTTTTGTGATATGTTTGTAGAGCTTCATCCAATCTTTAAAATCTAAAATATTTCCATTGATGAAACATGTATATTGAATTTAGTGTTATTTGTTGTAGGTATGCCTAGAAAGATTAAATGATATACAGCTAGCTATAGTTATCTGTAGACTATACGATGGTGAGGAGATGTTACCTTTAAGTGTCCAGAAAATACTCAATACCAATATACTAGGATATGATGAGAGTGGTGACAATTATAATCCACGACATTCTCATCCTAATCCTTTCCTACGCAGCATGTCATACTGGATGTTTAAAAAATATAAAGAAGCTCTGCAGACTCTACTCCAGACTAAAGTTGGTCGTCCTAAACTGTCTACTGAAACTGATCTAGATGCTGCCACAATTACTCCCAATGTTTTTAACTTTTATAATTATCTACGAACTCATCCTCTACTTGTTCGTCAACAATTAGCATTGGCCTCTCCTGGACATCGTAAAGCTGTTATGACAGGATTCACTAAATCAAACAGCGTGGCAGTTCAAGATCATAATATAACAACCATTGATAAGGTCACACCAATGGAACGTAGACTGTTTTTCGCAACAGCTCATGTTCATTTCAAAAATGGATGTCCACTTCTTGCTCTAGAAGTTTTATCCAAATTACCTCCTGTTGTTGATGAGAAGGAAAATGAGAAAATAATGAACAAAAATAATTTAATGATGAATCAAAATGGCTCTCTCAGTACAGGAACATTAGAATCTTCAGACCTGAAGAGTTCAAATGTGGAAGATAACTCTAAAGCAAGTGATTTTGATTGGAGTCAACCAGTAACCAGTGAAAAGAAAGAAACTGCAGATGCTTTTGACTGGAGTCAACCCTTGTCTAACGGTACCACAAGTAGTATAGATTGGGGAGAACCAATTTCTTCACAAAAAATAGAAAAGGCAGACGACTTTGATTGGAGCACTCCAACATCAAGAGTAAGATTTGAAGATGAACCAGAATTTACTCTAGGATCTTCTAGTGAAGATGAAGATGAGGAAATCAATAAAGACATTCCAACTGTGACAGTAGAAGATCCATCTGGTGTGATCACCACTGAAAAACCTTCCCAGAAAATAGACATAATGGCACAACAGTATAAATTTATAGCTTGTTTAAAGGTATTAATGGAAGAACTGGGTACACTAGCTACTGGGTTTGAAGTGGATGGTGGACAGCTTAGATATCAGTTATATATTTGGTTAGAAAAAGAAGCTGAGATATTGAAAGCATTATGTAGTTATGGTGTAGAGGAAGACATTTCTCAACATCCACTTGCAGATAGTAAGTTCTTCTTTCACTTTTCATGTAGATTTTCAGTGCTTAGCTAACATTTAACATACCTGTATTATTCTCCCTGTCAATGATAGAGATTGGAAATGGAAAAAGCATGACAGTAAAGCAAGGCCCAGTGTTCTGTAGATCTGTACGTTTTATTATTTTGTCAAAGTTAAAATTAAAATATAACTAAGCTAAATTGTCTGTATCTTCAAACTTTCTTCATTGCATATAGTATGGCATTGCTAAACTTTACAGCTGCATTAGCAATCATTCATTTCAATTTAAGTTCAGATCCAATGCTTTTTAGACTCTTTTGATTCCAATGGTTCAGTTTAGTGGTTTACTCTCCTTTGTAATGACGATCTCCTTTTTTTTTCAGCAACATTAGATAGTAGTAGAGATTCAGATGACATGTTGGAACCAGTTCGACCTTCTAGATCTCTATCTATACGTTCCGATACATCCGCTAGTAAAGCTTCATTACACGAAGTTATTATGTCAGATAAACTTGATCTCGAAGCCAAAATGGAGAGAATGTCGCGACGAAAACAATGGTTAAAAATGAATCAGCAATTGTTACGAACATTAATTAGTTATTGTATAATGCAAGGATCAGGAGGTGGTGGTCTTGCGTCTGTTAGAATGGAATTATTATTGTTATTACAAGAACTTCAACAAGAGAAACCACAGCATCAATTACTATCTCCATTACCCTTCCCAACCACATTACCATTACTATCAGCTAGTATAGCTAGTTCTAAAACTGTTATATCAGATCCTATTCAACATTTACAATGTATGTCACAAGATATGTTACACACTATAATAGAACTTCTCTTACCACCTGGTTTATCTACAGATCTCAGTAATGTATATTTATTACGTAACCTGGCTGTCGCCCTATCATCATGTATATACCAATGTCTGTGTGACAGTGATAATTTTGTCGTATCATTAAATGATAATATGGATATTGGATTAGAAGGCTTTTCTAGGTGAGTAATATTTTATGCATGGTTCATTAAGCCCTGGTGATATGACGACTCATTTAGTCTATTATATGTAGCAAGATCAATAAATTTTGTTGTGGTCAAGACAAAAACATCAATACACAGAGCAGAAAGCATACCAAATACATTCAAAAAGAAGAATCTTGATCATCAAGTGCAATGAAAATTTAAATTGCTATCTCAGTCAAAATTATTTTTAATTCTGTGTTTTTCTTTTCCTTTGCCCCCAAATTAGGTGCTTGCAATAGATGCCTTTGAATGGGTTTACTTAAAATCAGACATGTTGTGACGTATTTTGTTATATGAACTATTTCAGTCCTAATTTTGCGTGTCAAGCTAGTTATTTAATGACTGGTATTAAAAGAAGACGTGGTAGATCACATAGTGGTGGTGTTGGCGATGAGATGGTTAATACACCAGCTGCTAAGTGGCCAGGTATAAAATATTTTAATAGCATTAATATTTTAATTGTACCTACAGCATGAAACCTATTATAATGTTTACTGTGTAGTCAAATCAAATTGTTGAACAGGATTTTTCTTGCTATCCTAATAATCCTCTGTAAAAATCAATGAATTTAATTGCGAAATCCCACTGAATACACAAATTTTGATAATACTTCCAATATACACGCACATGTTAATACGTAATGCATGTAGTATATGAAGCTTAGAATAGTGCAAAAATGTAGCCTATGTGTTTACTTAATATAAATGTTGATTTTTCTTTTTGGTGTCATAGATTTTATCATCACAGTAATAGCAGTCTAAACCTGTCTGGATATTAAAGACAATTCACTTTCAAAGCCATTTATATTCATTGCAGGTGTAACATCATTAAAAGTATTATTAGCTAGAGAAAAAGATGAGGATGCTCCAAAATTAAATATATTATTAACGGAATCATTATTAGCTGTTTATATAAGTTTATTAGTTAATGGTTTATCTACCTATGATCCTCTCTTACTATACCGACTGGTAGCTCATAAATTTGATGAAAAAATGTGGAGTGCACTGTTTGGTGGTGGAGCTAAAACAATTTTTAAATCTAATAACCCAAACATTCCTTTAACAAGTAAGTTGAACCTACATTAGAAACTTTCGTGGGAAATTATGAAATTGGAAAACACGGCCATGAATGTCAATTTATCAAGTTTCTTTTTGAGTTCAGGTATTTGGAAACAAAACAGTTAAATGAGTTATAATGAGAAATGCGGTTACTTTTTCAAACATTTGTACTACTTAAAATGAAATCATGATAGTCTAGTATTCCTGATAACACTCTGAACTCTTTGAACTCGGCATCCCTGTAGGTTGACCATAGGTTTAATGAAATAGTGGTATATTAATCTATATAATTTTACTGTAGAACCATCAGAAGATGAACTAGCTAAACATAGGATGAGATTAAACATGAGAGTAATGGGATCCTCACCTTCACCAAAACCAGCAGAAATGAAAGAATCTTATAAAGAGAAGTTTATACCACCAGAACTTAGTATGATTACGTTCTTTATGACAAAAGTAAGTGAACACACTTAAAACATTTGATTTGAACTAAATATCTATCTAGTTGATTTTCCTCATTATTCCAGTCAAACCTACTGTAAACAGGAACATATAATCCAGAAAAAAATATGTAAAAAATTGAAAAATATGAATATTGCTTTCTTTCTTTCAGCCTTTTGTGCCATCATCAGAGTCTGTCATCAGTTATGATTCTGATGATTCTGTTTTATCTGATGATGAACCTGCTAGTGATAGTGAAGATGATTTTGAAGTCTCAAGACCTAAAACATTGTAAGTTTTTTGATACATTTCTGTCATATTTCATTTGATGGTTATCAAGATAAAAGTGTTATATCTGTATTTTGGAAGTTGATTATGCTGATTTACTTTTGTTTAAAACGAGATTTTGATGTATAAACATCTTGAATAGTGAACAATTATTTACTTGAATACAGGGCATGATTGAAAGATTGTATATATATGTTATGTGGAAATCTGAAAGCAAGTGAGTGAAAATAGATAAAAATTAAATTTTGTATATTTTTTAGGGCGTTGGATAATATGCAACAACATAGTGATCCTAATTCCTACAGTTGGTGTTTAATAAGATATTGTATAGTACATCATATATATCATAATATACAGTTATTTTTACCATTAGTTGGTATTGAATTAGCAGGTATAGTATATTTATGTATATATATTGTTCTATCTGATGAATAACTTTAAATCTAGGGTTTGGTTGAACTTCTTCAATTTATGAGAGTTGATGCCTATAAATGTGTATGCTTATTGGTTAATGTGTTTATTGATATAGAACTTTAGAATTAGATTATTGTTTCATACATAATTTGTTCCTACAATTAATGCTCTAAAACACAAGTAGAAGGTAACCACTACATACAATAATAAATTTTAAGTAACTAAAGCAGTTGGTTACATTATTTCTATATCTATTGTAGAGTTGCCAAACTGTTCACCATTACTACATGCTCTAATGAAGATGTTAGAACAATGGGATGAAATGTTATACAGTAGATTAGAGTTATTTGCTTGTCCACCTGAAAGTTATATCCCTGGTTTACATCTAGATGTTACAACTGGTGTACCACAGTCTAAGTATCAGGCCCTACTAAATCCTTCTAATACACCTTTTGTGTAAGTAAAATTGTAAAAATTACACATTTATCTATATCTGTTGTATGGAGTATGGAGTAATGTGGAATAAACCTTCATATGAATTTAATCCTTATGAATTTGATCCATAAATTACTGATACTCACCAGGGCTGTTTTGTCAATCGGACATCTTTCTATGACTCCAGACCGTCATTTCCCAAAGTTGAATTATATTTGACATGACCTTTGGCAAAAAAGTATAACTGATTTTGGTAATATTTTGGAAAATTCTAAAATAGCCAGATATTTTAGATCTATTTTGATGGATTAATATTTTATTTTTTTTTTTGCATAGTGTAATTCAATAGTTTGCATTTCTCTTAATACAACTTGAAAGTAGAAGTTAAGTGGAGATTTGATCTCTAACCTGTGTTTGTTTTACAGAAATGACCAATCAAGTTTACCAATGAAAAGGTTGTGGTTTCAACTGATTAAACAAGATGTATTAAAAGATATATTTATACGTTATATATTTAGAAATAAAAAACCTCATCTTGATAGTGCTGTAAGTTATAACTTTCATTATACAGTTTACACATATTGATGATCTCTTCTATCAGATATTGGCCTATAGACATGCTTATTTTGTCCCTTATTGCCCACTGTATGGTCTATCAAATCTGGCTCACAAAAGTAGAATGTGCCATTTACATTGAATGTTTAAAATTATAAATTTTTAAGGTTCTTGTAAACAGGATATAAATGTGTTATTTTGACATTCATGAAAATGTCTGGTGGTAAATTATATGCATCTCTTTATATTTAGGATTCAATGAGAACAACTACTACAGATAGTGATACACCAGCTAGATCTCTAGAACCAATGAAAATAATACATAAAGAACAAGATATTATTACAGCCTTTTCTATCAACCAGGTAGGGATTGGTCTTGTGATTTTCTTAACATTATAGAACCATCAATATTCAGCCCAAAACTAACTTATACTTTCTGAAAGTTTGGTATTTGAGTAGTAATGCTGATTAGACTGACTGACTTGAAAACAAGTGTTTGATGGTTGAAAATGGATGCTTTTGAATTTTTTCATTTTCAAGCTAAAAGGGTTGGTTCGGCTGTCCTTATATTAACATTGGCTTGCATTAACCTTCTTTGCTAGCCCAACAAGGGGCAGGAATCATTATATTTGGTCCAGTATACATGGATTCCCTCATCAAGATCCTCAAAATTTTATTTTGCATGCATCTTTAAAAGTTAAGCACAAATGTTATAGATATTTCTATTACTATTGTACATGTAGTTTATATGATTTAAACCTGAGGTGGCTCTATGTATGGTATTAAGGTTAAATGGTGTTATATCACTTGATATGGGAATAAGCTTCATAATTTATGTTGTTTAATGCACTCTATAATTTTATTTATAAACTTGCTATTATTAGGACAATTGTAGTGTGCTGGCTTCCAATTCCCCATCTCCTAATAAGGTATTAGTTATACTCTGTACCTCTGTTTGCCGCTTGCTTTCTCTATATTTCTATCTTTTTTAAAGGGATTCTGAAGAGGTTTCCTATGACATCACTTTTCTTAAATATCATACTTTAATGGAATTTGTAATAGTGATTTCTTAAAAAACGTTTTTCTAAATGTACAGGAACCACAGATGTGAGGCCTTATTCAGAATAGTGCAAATGATTGCTTAAAACTTTCACAGTAACTCATCTCTTTAGAATCTCTTTAATCTAACACCCTACTATTTTATTGGAAGCCAAACTTTAAGGAAATGTCTAATGTTTATGATTTTGTTTTTATAGGCCCACATCTCTCTATGTGGACGTATATTGTCGGCATCCCTGTCCGTGCGTCCGTCAACATTTGCTTGTAAATGGTCTAAAAACTAGATTTTTTGATGGAATCAAATGAGATTCGGTATGTGTAGACCTATTCATAAAACGAAGATCAAGTTTGAATTTGAGCTATTTTCGACCGTTAGAAGCCCTTGCCCCATTATCTTGAATATGCTATTACTCTCTTAATTTTCAAATGATTTTGATGAAACTTAAAATGGATGTTTCGTTTTTACCATCTGCATGCCGTGGTGGGCGTATATGGCTGTGGTCCACTATCTTTAGATGTTATAATAGTCTAGATGGATATACATTGCCAGCACAATTTCAGCTCTTTGCACCACTGTTCTTCCATACATGTGACAATAATATCTACATGGTAGACTAGATTAGATTAATAATGGCCTATGACCAGTCAACCTCAACTGTCAACACTCTATTTGTTTTTAAATTGTAGACAGATATGACTGCATATTTTCATTTTAAATTGCTATGACTCTATAAAATTGAAATTTATCAAATATGTAACCCAATGAGATCATCAGAATTATATTCAACTCGAGGTTTACTCTATTATCATGAATTTTTTTTTGATGATGTCACTTGAAAAAAATGCCAATGGCATGAGAGTAAAGACAATTTTAGTAAAATTAATAACATAACTTTTTTGTTAGAAATGTTTCAAACTGCCCAATAATTATGTTTGTCATTTCCTTTCTGCCATCTGTTAAGTAAGAAAATACTTCTTCTATAGTACTACAATTGTCAGCTAACTGATATTATATTATACATATATATACTAACAAACAATATTTAGTTTGAGTACAGGCCTATTAATAAATACTGATGATAAAGTTTTTCCTCACCAATGTTTTTTCCTAATTTACTTGCATGTAGCTAGCATTTAGTTTAAAGCGGACCATACACGATCAATTATATTACACAATAGAATTGCACAATAGAATTGAGTTATTTTTCTGACCGACACACACGATTCAATCAAATCGCACAATAGTATTGAGCAAAAGTGCATCATTTCTACTTTAAACTTCGACCAGAATGGATGCATCGATCGCTATCGCGTTGATATTTGCTTCTAGACGTAGAAAACGGAGCAGAGGAAGGATTTGGGCAAAACAATGGTTTCTAGAGCGTGGACGTAAGTTCGGCAAGGGTTAGGGCTGTTGTTGGTCCATTAGGAATAGCATGGCATTATAGTATCACACTGTAGGCTCATACACATCATCACTACCAGCACCTGATTTTTTTGAATCCATAACTTTTTTCATTTCTTTTCTGAAGTTCGTTCGAAGGGAATTCAGTTTTTTCTTTACATCATCTTTTTCCCAAGTAGGATACTTCTCCTTAAATTTGGTTACAAGAACCTTATAAGCCTGGTCTTTCATTGTCCGATTACTATATTCTTTACTTTTGATATTCCATAATACAGGATGTTCTCTATAGAGTTCAATGCACTCCAATCAGAATTTTTTCTCTTGGGTGGTGGACATGTTTCCAGTAGAAGGTTGTCGTGTAAAATGAATATATTGCACAATATAATTGAAAAATCCCACACACTGTAAATGAAATAATTGCGCATGCCTAAAAATTTCTACCAGATTTAGAAATTCTGAGGCTTGCATAATACTATTGTGCAAGCCTTCAATATCACCCACACACGGTCAATATAACTGCGCAATGTCAGTTCACGCAATACTATTGTGCGATATTATTGATCGTGTATGGGCCGCTTAAGAGCAAGCTCTTTTGATAGCTGATTAAACCAATAATTACTCCTATTTTAATTCTTAGTATATAGGATTGCATGCTAGTATATTTTGTAATCCAGTTGATCAAACATTTACACAAGGGACCAGGGCATCAAGATGTTTTATTGCCATCGTATTTTTAACGACAAAAATCTAATCTAATCCATTTTACAAAAGTAATTAATAGTCTATTTCTCAGGTACTTTTATTGACATGACTAGTTACTAATTATTGTTGACAAAATAAAAAGTATAACTGGAATTTTTGTCCACTCCATAGAGCAATGAGCATAGCTGCTCACTGGTAATATTTTATTAGTATATTATCTTTATCTAAGATATATTTTGTTAATGTTTGTGCATTGTAAAACAGATAATATTTGTGAATCATTGGTCAAATACCAATATATCTTTAATTCTATACCTCTCCAGGCTAACCTGAATTGTATAGCATTATCTACTCAGAAGGAACTTGTAGAATTAGATATATCTAAAATAATACACCCACCAAATTGGCTCGATGATGAAACAGAGTATGATATTGAATATCTTAAAAAGTAAGTGGAATTCAGTCTCGTTATGTCTGTTCTACATGAACATTATGAATTGCTATCAAATCATTCTAATTAATATGCTGATCTAGATGTTTTGCATCATTTTTTTTTCTGATTAACTTTATTTATCCATGATCTGACAAAATTCTTTAACTATTGTTCAGACAAATTTGACCCAAACGGGTGTAAAAATTTTTGCCAACAATTCTAAAACACTGTTAGAAGTAGTCTGATAATACCAAAAAATGAATATCCCAGAATCAAAAGTTGGCTTTAACATTGACGATGACTGTTACCACATGGATAGCATTGTATTCTCATTCCTTTGACTGTTACCACATGGATAGCATTGTATTCTCATTCCTTTGACTGTTACCACATGGATAGCATTGTATTCTCATTCCTTTGACTGTTACCACATGGATTGTATTAGATATTATTTTCTGAACTGTTACATTTCAGTCCAAGTCATCAGCCACCAGAAATATCTGAATTCTTGGTTGTCCAGACACCTCAAGATTCCCCTCAACTGGTATCTAGTAATCCAAGCGCTGCACATACACCAAATACTCCTTATGTTCCTTCTGCTCCTGGAGCTTTTCCTATTGGTACATTCCCTTACGCTCAAACAGGGCGTGGTACTAGCGTTGTAAGTTTCTTCTTTTCTTTATTATGGTAGAAGTCATGTTTAAATTTAAGTTAATTTATTTGATCAAATTCAAAATTTTTCCATGGATAAAGTCTCCCTCTTAATTTTAATTTTTATACTTGAATATTCTCTTGGCCTTTGGGATTTTAATTTAAACTTCTTGATAGATTCTTATTAAGGCTTATAAATTTGACTTACCCTTTTCAGCGAAGTGTTAGTATAATGCTTTACTTTACCTTCACTTTCAATAACTAATACTCATTTGTAATTCACTATATAATCCTTGCTTCATAGACATTCTAAATTTTTCTTTGTAAGATTCTGATATGTTTGAAGAAAACTGGAAATGAAATCTTTGATCTTTTTTTATTTGGAAGAATTAATTCCTGCTGTGTACTCTATTTTGCTTTAAAAAATCTTTTGAACTTATTTCTAAAAAATTTCTGTTATTATTTGCAATCTGGCAGTCAAAACAGACATTTAAATGTTTCTATGTTTTAAAAAATTCTGCCCATCATTATGAGACTATGTCTTTTCTTTTTATTGTGATGATGTCAACTTTTATGCTTTCATTGGTTGTGACATAATAAGATATTGATTTACAAATGATATTAGCATTGCTACTACAATATCTGGTGATATTCTTGGACAATGTTCATACTGGGTCTTGGATGGTTTGAAGAGATTAAAAAGAGATATTCTTTGTATGAGTATCGAGTACAGATATAGATTCCATGTGCACCATTTGATAAATTTGTATCTAGTAATTCAAAAAAAATCTACCAAACATGACGCTGTTGGAAAAATTACATTTGTCTCAATTGACCATAGTGATATTGACAATCTAACCTACATCTGGACTGGAAATCAGATCAGTGCAAATGGAAGCTATAAGAGTATACACATACATAGGCTAAAAAACCCTTTTTCAATCCTTTAAGTGAATGCATTATAAACAGATATGTATTCATTGGTGGAGGGTATTCTCTCTTCCTCGTTATCTATAAATATCTTGGGTACTGTTTTTCATTTTTTTTTCTATATTTATTGCTTATCTCTGTGGGTTACAGGTGAAAAATTTTCATATTCCTGGTGTAAATAATGCATTTATGACAAATTTTATAATTGATCGAAGTTGGCGATTGATTAATTTGGTGAGATTATATGTATTACACGTGTATAGTTTCTTTTCACATTCAGATTTATTTTAATCTAATTTTGAATTTAACTCGCCAAAAAAAAAAATTCAAGGTGAATACTTTCAAATTTAGAATAATTTTTGTCACATGCTTGGCATAGTTTCTATTTTCTCAATGTCGTTTTGACATTATTTTTTTTTTGATCAATTTTTTTTTCAGTATTTATTTAAACAAATTATAAAGTTTATGTAATAAATGTATGTTTTTTTAATTGTTATTTGTGTAAGAGTATTAGAAGTCTTATTATGATCTTATGATTTATTTATGTGCTCTCAAAATTCTACATATTTAATTTAATTTAATTACATTTCTCTGGTTACTCATTGATTAATATGTAACTTAATTAAATAAAGAAATTAATTATTTAAAAGAATAATATTGATAATTATTGATAATATATAATAAAAGCTTTACTAATAATAACATTGATATTGTATTTAAAAAATATTATACTGATTCTTCACTGACCATTTCAATTGGTTTCAATTTTAGATCCAAAGACGTCAAATTCCAGGTGTAAGAAGAATTGGTTCCCATCCTCATCTTCCACATTGTATGTATTATATTTTTTTCCATCATTTCATTACATTGTTAGATGGTTCAAAATAGAATTAAGGGCATAAGCATTAAATTCTTGGGTTTTTCTTTTCATTTAGAGTCATGAAATAAACATAGAATTCTTTTAAAATTATTCACAAATCAAATGTTAAAAAATCCTATCTGATTTCTGTTACAGATTTAACTGGTAGTGCTGATGGAAGTGTGAGATTCTGGGAATGGGGACATACTCAAGCTTTAAGTATCTTACGTCAACCTGGTTCCTTTCCTAAAGTTACTAAAGTATTATTTAATGCACAGGGTAATAAGGTTGGTATATCTTATTACTCATCTTTTTTTATCTACTTAAAAATAATCCTGCTAACGTATCATCTAGGATTTTGATGCTTATGCTGAACGATACTGATCCAATTTTTGTAGGATTCTTAGATGAAAAATCCAAGCTTAGAATGGTGTTATGTGTTTTAGAATGTTTTAAATTTGATTATTCTGAGAACTATATGTGTTTTATTGTTTATATTTAACAGTGTTGTGTGAGTGATATAGAAGGTTCTATATGTTTGTGGCAAGTTGGTCTTGGTAGTAGTTTCAACAAACCAATAATGGTAAGTAATACTAAAATAATACAAGACATGAGTGTGTTTTTACAAAAGAATTTCCACAGTCATTGTGTTGTGAGTAGGACTCACTAATTATATACCCTGTATATTGATGTTGCTTTAATAAGAATGAAAGAAAGAAACAGTTTTCTCAATATTTGTTTTATCAGTTGAAGTTCTATACATTTGAGTTGATGTAGAATTTGTATAGATGATTTTATCCCCTCACATCTGTTTCAAAGCCTACTTTAAAGTTCAAATTTGTTTTATATATTTTTTTTCTGTTTTACAGAGTTTATCATGCCATAATAAAACAACTAGTGATTTTACATTTGTTGGTTCATCTAGTCTTATTGCTACTGCTGGTCATTCTTCAGAGAATCGTAATGTATGTTTGTGGGATACACTACTTCCAAAACGAAGTTCACTGGTACATGGTAAGTTATCTCAAGATAAGCTTAGCCTACTTATATTATTTTTCGATCTTATTAGTGATCTTGATATTTTTTTTCCGTCTCAAAAAATAGGTTTAGTTGTGAATTTTTATGATGTATGAAGATAAAGTAAGCTGGAAGTGTGGGAAAGTCTAAAAGATATAAATTTGTTTGGTTGTGCATTACAAGTATAAGCTTATGTATTATATTTTTGAAATGTTCTGATTCAATCTATTTTTTAGCATTTAAATGTCATGAACATGGTAGTCCTGCTGTTGTTTATGCACCACAACATCAGTTATTAATAAGTGGTGGAAGGAAGGGCGAAATCTGTATATTCGATTTACGTCAGCGCCAACTAAGACACACATTCACAGCACATGATGGTCCTATAAAATGTCTAACTATAGATCCTGAAGAAGAATACTTTGTAACTGGATCAGCAGAAGGAGATATCAAGGTCTGTAAAATTAGTGACCCTTTGTTCTGGTACAAATATACATAGTGCTCATTGTTGTAACTCAACAAGGTTAACATAAGACGTTACAGTTACTTAGATATTTCTCCTTTTATTGCAGGTTTGGGCTTTAGATGTTCATCAATTAATATTTTCCTTCCCTGGTGAACACAGTAAGAGTAATTTCTTTAGAAATGTTGGTTCTACTTCGGGAGTTGCTCAAGTAGCAATTGGTCCTAATCATCATTTATATTCCTGTGGCGTGGATGGTTCTATGAAATTCCGACAACTACCTGAAAAAGAACTGCTGGTTCATCATTGGACATAATAACTTTCATCATTCTACTTTCTAGTCTATTTATAGTTACTCTTGACTTATTTAATTTGTATGCTTAATTTGAAAAAAGTGAAAAGCACCAAAAATACATTATAGAAATGTAAACTGAATATTACAGCCCAAATATTTATTAACCTCAACTTTAAAAGATCTAATATTGTTTGTTAACATGTATCATATAAAATTCTTTATACTTAGTTTTTATTTACAGTTATTATAAATTATTTATGTTATATACCTCTTGGCAGATTATTGTATATTTGTTAAAAAGTATGATATATAGTGCGTATATGATGGTTGATTCCAATAGAGAAATATTAGGTCATATCAGTTAAAGTATAATTATGTAGCTATGTAGAATTACCTCTTGGTCTCTGTATTTATTATTTATTGATTCATTTTAAATGCCATGTAATTATTTTATATCAATCAGTTCTGTCTTTTTCATCATAGTTTTGTCACACGAGTTGTCACTTATTTGAATTTCACACAAAAACCACAACAGATTAGTGCTCTTTGATGTTTTTCTTACTATGAGGCGTAAAATGTTTTGTTTTCTAAATGACAGTGATAGGCCTGTTTAAAGATATTATTTTTAATGGTGGCATTTGAACATCATTATGTACCTCATGCATAGATTAGTTTAGTAGGATGACTTATTTGGCATAGTGTTTAGTTAACTAATGAATGTTGCATTTTTTGTGATCATGTTAATTGAATGCCATAAACTTTTAAGGTCATTTGAACATCAAGTCTAGAAATTAGAAAATTACCTGTGTGTAATAAAGTGAATTATAAAAGATTATGTTGAGTGAGTAGTTATTAAATTATGTTATTTAATGGATATATATAATGTATGAGTGTTATATTGGTATATAAATAGGTTTATAATTGAAAGTATCCAGTGATTTAAACAATAATATTGTGATAGAGATATACATAATTATTCCTGTTTCTGTATATATTATGTTAATTTTTAAAATTTTAATAATTCTAATGTGCAATATGAACATGTATATAAGGGTCATAAATGTAAATATATATTAATGTAGATCAAAAGATTTCTTCTAAGAAAAGTGTCATTGTGAAGGCTGTGTTACAATTCCTTGTTATCCCTGAGTAAGGATTTACGATTGATTTAGATAGATATTAAGTACCATTATAGATAGTTTTGATTAGATAAATAGTGTAATAAAATTATAGTCTTAATAGATGATGTGGTGAAGAGAACAGATGATATATAACAGAGATTCTCACTAGATTCACTAAACTATTCCAATTAGAATTTCCTTGGAGAAATATCAGTAAAAAATTGTGTTTAAAAAGTGGGCCTAATTCATGATGCTTAAGCTTAACGTATATCAACCCACGTTAAAATTTTTTTAATATTGTCTTAACGTCTTCTTTCTCAATGTACAAGTTGTTATTAGGTAGATGTAGATATATTCTATTTAATGATAATGTTTATTGAATATTAATAATTAAAGAAATTTAAATATAATATTAGGTTACTTGTTACCCATTACCATAATAATGGTATATGTTTTATTAATATGTTAATGAAGGTAAATAAAAATATGACACGACCTCATTGCCTGCAATGGAATGCGAAGTTTGACCAATGAAGGTATGTCAGGTCTACATTACAAGGCTGAAATATTAATGATTGATTCTGTGATTGCATGGAGTAACTAAATATCAGTTTATATATCAAAAAAAAATATGTCTAAAAAGAGTATTTGGAATTGCATATACTAGTCTTTGAAAACAATTACAGCGTTCTACTTGATTTTGTTCTATTTAGGATCCTCTGTAATAATTTAATATTGTTATCTTTAATTGTTAAAGAACATAATGAAATTATTGTCAATATTGTTTGTTTTAAATGTAACATTTTGTACTTAAATTAAAAGCCATCAATCAAACAATTCTATTTTTGTGAAATATTCTACCAATAATATCTAGCCTGGTGATTGTTAGGTAATGTTATGGTAGGATACCACATATATTGACAGAAAATACGAGTATTGCAAACACAGGCTTAAGTGTATACAAAATAGGACAGGAAATCTCTAATGAGAGAAGTGTCTTTGAGGATGTAATACAGTGGTTTCCAACCTTTTTCAGCTCTCTGAGTCCTGAAGCAATAACCTGGACCTTTCGCACTCCGAAAATATGTTTCATCCACATTTTTAAAAGGTGTTGATGTGAGGTACTCTCTCAATTAAAAACAAATTCTTCTCCTAAACAGTTGGCCATACCCCTGACACCCTAGTCCCACACCTACAGAGGGTGAAAACACCCCAGGTTGGGCACCGGGGATGTTTGTTAGATGATCATTTTCTTGAATCCTCATAAAACAATTTAGTTTTACGTCTTGTCCATGCCATTGGTTTCAGAGATCAATGTCACCCATAGAATAATAAACAAACTATTTGACTTAATGTCCTTGTCCAAAGGTTGATAATGTATTGAATGGTTAGTATGAATAACAGTTAGGGTCCGTACGCATAAAGACAAATGAATTATATGATTCAAAAATTAAAAGCAAAATTCTTCTGAAAGAAGGTTTATTTTGTTCTCCAGTTGTTTCCGTCTCGAAACTACGTGATAGTAATGATTTGGGGCTGACTTTCAGTAAAAAAAATTAGTTCCTTATCTAAACTGTTTAGTACGTACTGCCTTAGAGTAATTGCATTCATTATATAAGAATTGAGAATTCAAAGCTAAAGTAATAATGATCCGGAATACAGTGATCATTAAATTAACCACATATAGTGGTACCAGAGAATGACTTGAGCTCATCTCTGCCCTGGTGGTGATAACGGGGGAAAACATAGATATCCTATAGCTCAGTGGGGGAAAAGCATCTCAAGGGGAGTAACTTGTACTAATTGTTCTCGTCTGAAAGTTGAAAATACTATGATCAATATAGTTGACGCTTTTGTGATCGTCGAAAATATCTCTTCGGTCTCGAGAGATCATGAATCGTTTTGGCTGTAAAAAATGTTGGCTTTTATTTTCTATAGAAAATCCAAACAGCGATTATCTCCCTTAATATTATATTTCAAGTAGTTATATATATAGATTTGAGATTTCAACAACAGTTGTAATAGTGACCAATAAATATAGAAAATACCAACATAACAGTTTATTATGTTTAAGTGAACCATATAAGGTGTGTATCTGTATCTAAATCGATTCATATTGCGGATTTTCACCCTTTTTTGTGATTATAGAGGATTAATACTTGAGATATAGGCCCTACCATGGCTACTAATAGTAATACCACTGTAGTTGAAAATGAAAGTAGTAATGTGGATTATTCGAAGCGGATGAAATCGGATTTAAAGGGAAAACAACGATTTTTCTTCTTCTATCGTAAAGAATCTCCATTTAGTCAGTTCCACTCGAGTAAATTTAGTGTTGATGATAAAGAATTCAGTTGTGCTGAACAGTATATGATGTACAGTAAAGCAGGTTAGTAGCAGTACACGTTCTGTTAATAGTCTATTTCTACGACAGATATTATAAGGCCATTTGAAATTAATTTTATGTTTTTACCGATTGTTTGTAATAGTATTAGAATGTTAATGTTTTATCCAGAAATATCTGGATATCTAGCAATTTTGGCTTATTAATATATTTATTTACTTAGAAACTGTTTGACAATAATTTTTTTTAGCCTAATTCGTAAATTAATAAGGTTTAAATAATAATTGAAATAGGCTACCATAGGATAGACCTGCCAAAAATAAAACTGAAATCAAAGGCACATTTCATTGGATTTTTTTAGTTCTGTTTAACGACGAGGTAATGAAAAAAGCTATATTAAAGACAAGCAACCCGGCTGAGATGAAGAAATGTGGACGAAGAGTAAAAGATTTCGATGCAGATGTTTGGAATAAGCATTGTGTGGATATTGTTAGAACCGGAAACGAAGCTAAGGTAGGCCACTTTCCCCAACATACAGAGCTTTCTGCTAACACTATAATTCCTCCTGAGCACAAAAGATAAGAAACGAGGACTGATTTGTATTGAAGATGTTGCAGATGACATGATGTTCAGCAAGTTGGTATGACCCAGGTACGACCCAGTAGGGCGTACATAGGCTACATTACCTTTAGAATTTGTTGATCTTTTTCAGTTTTCACAGAATGAGACGTTGAAAGAGCAGTTATTCCAGACGTATCCAAAAACATTAGCGGAAGCCAGTCCTATGGATAGGATATGGGGTATAGGACTCTCAGAGAAAAACGAATTGGCATGGGACAGCAAAACATGGCGAGGGAAAAATCTTTTAGGATACACATTGACTGAAGTTCGTGATAAACTGATGAAAGACGAAGATCTTATTGATTAACGTGATTCCCTGTGATTCGATTAGTTTACTTTTGGTGCTTCTTATGTTCAGACCATCTGATCATAATATAGGTCTTGCTCATACTTTAAGGATCCCGTTCATACTTGTACAGTAAACAAACTTTACTCTAAATAGCATATGATTGATAGAATTCTTACTGTGAACGTACTTTGCTTAAGAATATTGTCAGATTCATTACAAATGTCCGTGTTAACAGCTAGGAAATCCGTATTAAAAGCACCCTTCATTTTGAAGCAGCAGACCCATAAAAATCCAGATCTCAATCAAACAACCATCATGTTAAGTTATTATGATAAATTTATTCGTCATTAATAATCATCACATTATCCTTCTATGATATACTGTACATAATTTATCATGTATTTCATAATACATTCAATATTTGGCACATTGTACGTTGTTAAATAAAACGTCATATTATCTATGAGATCTCTAGTCCAGCTAGGCATATATCTTACACCAAAGATTCTACAGATATTGAAGGTTGGTGGCGACTATTTACTCGTGTTGCTTGATGCGATTGAAACATTTGCTGCTCTGCCTGTAAGGGGCGAGGAAATGTCTGTAATCCTGAAGAATTCAGCACCTCTTTCGACTCTCTATCATTTAAACGATATTTCTGAAAATAAAATTTCGGTGGCACTGATTCAGATTGTTCGGCAACACATTCGGTGCTTTGTATGAACTGTTTCAGTTTATCAATCTCTTTTAAGCTATTTTTGTGTCCGTGTAGCCGCGAAGGTCTTTTGGTGTCGTTTTTACGATTATCTTGTGTAATTGGTTTGTTTTGCTCGCGGCATGGACCATATTTGGAAATGGGAACGTTGAAATGTTTAATTATAGGCCTATGTTCCTGAAAGCTATTTTTCCTACAAATTTGATCTCTGCTCTGAAAAGATTTTGAATTGTCCACGGCAGTTTGCTTACTGCTGAATTTGGCACTTGATGATCTACCGTTCAGACGTCGAATCGTCCAGTGGTCTTCGTGTGTCTTTTCATGTATAAGATCAAAGATGTTGACGGTTTCTAAAAGCCACGATTTGATTCTTGTATCTGCTTCAACAGTTTTGGTGGGAAGACGATCCAGATTTTCAAAAGAGGGTCGAGTGGAACTGTTCCACATTGCACGATCACTGGAAGAAAATGTCAGTTTTGTATTGGATGAAGTTGTTTTCGAGACTGAGGTGTCCTCGTCATTATAATAGTCCTCATCATCACCATCAGATCGTAAACTAAAACTATCACTAAGTGAATCTGTGTACCATACCGGATGTTTGGTTAATTTGTTGACATTGAGTGGAAGGACTGTCCGTGTTCGACAAGTATCATCAACATACATACTCTGTGTCCTCTGAATCCTCTTGTGTAAATTTGGATTTCGGAGATGCGTTCTACTATTCAAGTATGAATCATCCAGAAAGATACCGCCGTGTATTGTAAAAGGTCGGGGATTTCCCAGTTTGAAGCCCCTTCTTCCTGTCACACGTTTGTTATTTCGCGGTGTACACAATGTTATATCTTGATCACTCTCATTAAGACTTGAAACAAAGGCTGTACCAGGAATGGACGGACTTGATCTCTGAGTTGATGACGCAGTGAAACGAACCAAAGAATTCGTTTCACTTAAAATATGTTTCTTTGAAATCGATGCTTTTTGTTGGAAACTGGACTTCATGTGCGGAAATATTAAATCGTGATTGAAAGACTCGTAATCCAAATCGGTGTTCTGGGTACCACCGGAAGTACATCGTGATATGACGGTCTCTGTTGTTTGACTTTCTGCTGATGTTGTATGATGCAGACTAGAAATTGTTTTCTTGGAAGACTTTAATCCCTTAGATTTGCACTCTGATTTGCTAACGTAAACAGAACTTTTGGCCACAGTCGGTTTTATTTCACTTATGATGGTAAGAAGATAACATCCGGAATATTTAGCGATCAGAGCGCACACAAAACACATTAACAGAAACACAACGGTGATCAACTTGGTTAAATAATCTTTATCAGAATACAGAAGCCACACAGCTGACATAACTATATTCTCCACTAATATCAGGGCATAAAACGCCACATATTTACATTGTATTATACGTAAATTAGATTCCATCATTTCAAAGACATGGAAAAAAGACAAAGCTGTAAAACGACACAAATTCCATGGACTACAGCGTTTCACTTTCCAAGTAATATCCTTCGTACATGTCATAAAAGTGAAAAACACCAGTATAAAATGGACCCAACCAGGAACAGTTGCCCAATAAACAACCACAGAAGCCATCAATATGATAGTCACAATGCGGGTAGCCAGCATCAAAAACGTTCCAAAACATAAAAGAAAAACACCCGTAAAACGCTTTCCAAATTTTTGAATTTCCGAATCATCACAATTAACTAAAGAATATTTTAATGAATAAGAACTGAATGATATTGATAAAGATAAACATGATATAAATAATGTTAAAGCGGAGATGATGCCACCATCTTGGAGTACGAGTTGCAGCAGATCAACACCACCATGAAGTATGAGAAACGGAATAGTCTGTATACCACAATGGATAAATCGTATTATCAGAATTTGTCGCTCGATTCCCTGACTACGTAAATTATGAAGTCTCCAAATTAGTCCCAGCTGCAAACAGTGACAGGCAACACAAACTGTTTTGTTTATTGGAGGTTTCTGAAGATCACTTTTTAATATCCATACCAAAGATGTGATATTGGCGAGGATATAAGATAACACAATAAGCACTAGAGATGACACAAATATTGTAAATGGAATAGTTGTTTGAAACACGACATATAGTTGTAGAATTGTTTCCGCATACAACAAAATAATACCGAATACAAAAACCTCTCGCAGCATTTTGGCAGGTTCATTCAAAATTTTGACGTTTACTCATAGTATATACTCTTCGTTTTACGTAATGATATCCAACAATGTCATAATGCAGCCAACTAAACGTTCACTTCCATTCTGGGAGATTTTGTTTGACTATGAACCAAAATAATCTTCTTATCTTAAAAGACACATTGTCAAAAGTTGGACTAAATGGTCGTATTTATTTTCTGAAATATTTGTCATTGAAGAAACCGGCGTCTTCCTTTTCTTTCTTTGTGTTCAGTCAATCCGGTGCAGAAACGATGTGAATTCTGGTAAACAAACAGCCCGACTGATCTTTAAACATTCAGATTTTACTCCTGATCACGACTTTAAACACAAAACCTGTAAAGTCAATTAATAGCATTTGACACACGAAATCTAACTAGCCAGGTATGCTGAAGCTAGGGTTTACAAGTGTGAAAATGGTCTAAGGTCATAGAAACTAACATAATATACAAAGAACTGCACCATTGAATCCTTTAATCACTCATCTCCTATAGAATACAGATAATGGTCATTTGATGCTGTCTTGGAACTACAGGTCTCCCTACTTATTACGCTCGTGATTTGATGTATCTGAAAATATCAAAAATATTGTTAATTACCATTCTCGCCATGTGAAATAGTAAAAACTGTAAAGAGGGCAAGTGTTAATATATTAAAGAAGAGGCCGACATTAAAAGGTGGGTGGCCAGGGTCGAGGTGATAAGACAAATAATGAATTAAAGTGAAATCACGACATCTTTCTTGATCTATTTATTTTAAATCTTTGTGATAATCTTAAGCTTTGACACTTTTTCTATCTCAACGTAGTAAAAACGCCGACGTCCCTCCTTTAACCAATTTCATTATAAAAAAGTGTCTAGTTATCTGTATAAGTCAAAGATTAGCATATCTGGTCAATATTGTTGAGCTAATTATTCAAAAATTTACGTGGACATTAAATATAGATAAAAAAAAAAGGTATTCGATTTTATTTATTTAATTTTAAACACGACTGTTTAATACTCCTAATAATAACATTTTTTTCCCTTCATAATATGTTTTTAGAACATGGGTGAGACGGCGACAAAATGATAAAATTTAGCTTACATGCATAACTAATGGATTTATTTATCAATATATTTTTTTGATAAATAATAGACTGCAAAGTCGTCATATCATGATTAAACATAAATCATAGTCAAGGGCACAACAAGCAACCCTGTTTTATACCCCTATCAAATGGTTGGCACGCAAATATAAACTTTTCGGATTTAGCAATCTGAGAACTATTTTCCAAACTTCCACCTTTACATATTTCAGAAAAAGTCTATATTTATGAAATACGATAGACATTACCTGTAACCTACTGTATCAACCGCTTCGTATTCGTATAATGGCTTATTAGATATGGTGTGTTATAGCCCCGTATGGCCAATGATATTGTCAATAAACACTTTCCCAGGTTAATGAAAGGAAAATTAAACAACTTAACATATTAATATAAAAATATTAGCATAACTTTATAACGTTTACAACCGTTTAAAGGGTCAATAAGAGTAACCCTTATTATTCCTATTTGACCTATATAGTTTTATAGTTGTATTATTTAAAAGACCTCGTTGAACTGAATATTTTGTATTGTATATTGTATAAACTTGTGATATAATTCGTTTTACATACCCAGTAGGCTACATATATGCATATTACAATCCTTTTAAGAAATAATAACGACCAACAACCACATAAATGACTTTAACATTATGTTCATTTGATATATAATGGATCTTATAGACTTGTTATTGCATGATATTACAATAATCCGCTATAATCCCTAGATCAAAATAATCTGATTATAACTCCGGTCTTTAATCTTATACTGACCTTATTTAATTTCAATCAATATATACCACCTCCAAATATCGATGATATATTAAGATAACTGCTGATTTGCAAGACATATATTTGAATTTCGCCATTTCTGTTTAATTATCCACACATGGTGTAAATTGAATCCCTACCCTTTCAACTAAATAGATTAAGATGATTAACTTCAATATCTGTGATAAATATATACAGCGTAATTGCTTAAAAAATTTGTGCTTTGTATGTATGTCTTGAATTAAGTATTTGATTTCACTTACCTGAATTTTGAAATCCTTTTACAGATCAAATGGGGCACGCAGTTATCTTAACACACAAGACGAATCCTCTTTTCCTTACACGATAACAAGCAATAAAGATCAAATTCACGATCGTATCTTCCGCTTCATTGTTATTGAAATAGATCCTTTTTGATATGAGACTGTTGCAACATAATGATCTTATCTCTTAAGTAAGGAAAAAGTTGGTAGAACAGAGAGAAAACACACAAGGTGACCGAATATGTTCAACGACCTACACTGGACTGAATGTTGTGATCAAGTCTACAATTTAAATAAAGTCCGAAAAGATTAGTTTCTGAAAACAAACGTTAATCTGTGACCTCATTGTAATCATTATCACAGGTAAGATGAACCCCCTACCGTCCTGAGCCTTGTATATTTTCAATGGGATTAATTCAACAATAGGTAATCCCTGATCAGACCAACCAATAACTAAATAATTAATGTTATAAAGTTAGGTTTTAATTGTACAGCAGGTGTAGAGGATATCTTGAAAGTTGACCACCATCCGACGCAAAGAATGGCAATATTTAGATATAGTCTGGCATTCATGAGATGAAAGAACATATCCGATACGTTATCACATGCAAATGAAATAATTACATTTTCATTATACAAATAATTCTCAAATTCTTGTTACAAAATTCTCAATTTCTTATTACAATAAAATTTTTCTCAATTTGATCAATATTCCTTGTTTTTCATAATTATATAAGATTTGAACGACATGCGATAAAAGGTTTATCTATAGTGTCCCTCTTAATCTTTATATTGTTTCTTGTTGGTATATATTTTATGTTTTACTCTCCATTGCATTTGATGACGACACGTGTGTATTGTGTTGAAACGTTATGTGCCCAACCTTATTAAAGAAGTGTGTTATATTCCATAATATTGTCTTGTGTTGTGTTATTTCATAATTATAAATCTTTATTTCTCTATTTCTCATTATAACAATTCTCTGTTTCTCTCTATTTCTCTTTAAAACAAGTCTCAATTTTCAGTTCCGTTTCACAATTCTATGACAATTCTTCATTTCCCGCTATAATAATTCTTCATTATTCGCTATAATAATTTACTATTTCTCGCTATAATAATTTACTATTTCTCGCTATAATAATTTACTATTTTTACTATTTCTCATTATAACAATCCTCAATTTCTCCTTTATTATCAAAGAAGAATTCGGGTCGACCCTTAGATCGGTATAATATAATAAAAATATATTCAACAGCCTCTTCATAAATATGACTACCTTCACCAACTTCACTCATGTTCTCTTAGTTCCTGTCCTTTTCCTCTCTATCTACCTTGCCTCCTCTTCCTGCTGACCTAGCGCCATTTCTCTCTCCCTCTCAACTTCCCCTGTCTCTTCTTTCTACTGACCCAACGCCATTTCCCCCTCAACTTCCCCTGTCTCTTCTTCCTACTGACCTACCGCTATTTCTCTCTCTCTCTCTCAACTTCCCCAGTCTCTTCTTTCTACTTACCCAACGCCATTTGTCTCTCCCTCTCAACTTACCTGTCTCTTCTCTCTACTGACCCAACACCATTTGTCTCTCCCTCTCAACTTACCTGTCTCTTCTCTCTACTGACCCAACGCCATTTCCCTCTCAACTTCCCTGTCTCTTCTTTCTACCGACCCAACGCCATTTCTCTCTCCCTCTCAACTTACCTGTCTCTTCTCTCTACTGACCCAACGCCATTTATCTCTCCCTCTCAACTTACCTGTCTCTTCTCTCTACTGACCCAACGCCATTTCCCTCTCAATTTCCCTGTCTCTTCTTTCTACTGACCCAACGCCATTTCCCTCTCAACTTCCCCAGTTTCTTCTTTCTACTGACCCAACGCCATTTGTCTCTCCCTCTCAACTTACCTGTCTCTTCTATCTACTGACCCAACGCCATTTGTCTCTCCCTCTCAACTTACCTGTCTCTTCTCTCTACTGACCCAACGCCATTTCTCTCTCCCTCTCAACTTACCTGTCTCTTCTCTCTACTGACCCAACGCCATTTGTCTCTCCCTCTCAACTTACCTGTCTCTTCTATCTACTGACCCAACGCCATTTCCCTCTCAACTTCCCCAGTCTCTTCTTTCTACTGACCCAACGCCATTTGTCTCTCCCTCTCAACTTACCTGTCTCTTCTCTCTACTGACCCAACGCCATTACCCTCTCAACTTCCCTGTCTCTTCTTTCTATTGACCCAACGCCATTTCTCTCTCCCTCTAAACTTCCCCCGTCTCTCCTTTCTACTCCTTGAACTTGACCCACTGAAACCGTTGGACTCAATCCTGACCAAATCAACGATTTCATTGTTGGAAGTGTTGAACAACTCCAAGTTATTTACAATGGGTCTTTTATTTATTGCAATTTGCTTATCAGATTTGTCAATCTGCATTCAACCCTGCTATAAATTGGAAAAAACAATGGCAATTACACAAGGTGGGTTTATTTTTTTGGCCTAGTTGAAAATAAAGTTTCACGGACCAGGGAAATATATGTCCAATCAATTCATATGAGCATACAAAACAATTGAATACCTCAATATACTATCAGTGTTCAAATAAGCACATTATGCCTTTAAAAACCTGAATTATTACATCCAATTTCAAATTAAAACAACTATTTATTTTAAAAGTGTATATTTACAAAATCTTAGTTTAACATATTAATGTAGGTCTTGAAAGACAATAAAAGATAAAAAAAATATATCATAATAATCACAGTATGCTTAGAAAAAATAGAATTACCATATTCCACAATTCAATAAATTATACACAAATAATGTAAATTAAGAAGAAAAAAGATATAACAAGATTATCAAGTTTTTTTCTTTATGTAAAATGCTTCATAGATTTCTTCCTTTTTTAGAAAGATACATCAAACAATATTTAACAAGGATAACAACTTTGATTTTAGAGCCTCCCATCTTCTGGATGGTCCTTGCAAAACTACTTGGTATTGAGCTTTTTCCATCTATTTGATCTATTAAGAAGGGTAATAATGTGTGCGCGCTATATTTGAAAATATAGGGTAATTGCATAATTATTTGAAATTTAATAATTTAGACTGTCACTTCTAAAATCAACTTTTTCAGAAATTACAAAGGAATCAGATGCTGGATATAGATTCTGAAAAGTGATATATACAGCTTACATATACAGTTAAGACAGAAATATTTTGACAACCATCCCTATCATTCATCCCACGAATGTTGTTGACATGGTTTTGTAGCAGTAAAATGTTGTGTAATAATCCCAGTTAATCTTGATTTACATTGGAAACAAAAATTGGTTTTACAATTCCAACATTTAATATGGTTATTAGTATTAGCTTTCAGGTTTTTCTGTTTACAGCATGGACATGGAATAACTCTTCTTCTAAGACCAGGATTTATTTCTAAATTAGCTTGAACCCATAGATTTCCCTAAAAAATAAAACTTTGGTAATAAGCAACAAACAATGAATCTGAAGCCACACACCAAAACTAGGTCAAACTGCTCAATTAACAATTAGTACACTCCACTTGTTTAATTAAACATTATAAAACAAATTCAGTTTGATCAAATAGATACATAGTAGTATATAGCATATTTTAGAAATATTTTCAGGTATAATTTATGATGTTTTTGATAATGAAAATTTTGCATACTGTCCCTTTAAGCTAATTCTAAATGGATTCAAATAGTGTCTTCAGGGGTAGCTTCCTAATCAATTCAGTAAAAGGTTTTTGATCATTGGTGCTCCGGAATGATTTGATCAGTTTTGTATAGGTAACTCAAAGAATATTGGTAGGTAATACCAAGTTAAGCTACTAACGAATTACCAAGACGAATCGAAGAGACTTACATCAGCTACTGGTCTAACAACTCTATGGACAGGATTGCCAAGATAGCCACTGAATAACACACATTTATCACTATTGGTGAAGTGAGAATATCCTAATGATCCTGCTGCTAATGTCTGACCACATGACCAGCAAAATGATTGGCCACATCGACAAGTCATTTTATTACACCTAAAAGAGACATATTAAATATAATTCAAAAATTATCTTTATGTTCTTAACAAGCAAATTTTAGTTTAGTGCACGAAACCACAAACGTCTTGATTGAAAATTGGAATGGTGCAAATTGATGCTATCAGTGTCCCTAATACACATACTCTTTATAATCTCTTTAATACAGCCATTTTGTATATATTTGAAAAAAAACTTCAGAAGACACACTAGTTTTATTTAAGGATCTATTTTAAAAATCAACAACCGTTGAGCATTATATTGATACATACCCAGCTATTTTTTCAATTTTTGCTTTACATTTTGGACAATTCCTCATTTTCAACTTGAGTAGTCTGGCTGATTCAATCTCTGCCCTAATTTTCTCTCTCATTTCCTCAAATCTTCTTTGTTCAGCTTCATTATTAACTTTTCCTGGTTTCTGCTCCAAATTTTTCAGTTTATCTTCTGCAGTCTCACATCTTTTTCCCTGACAATTTGAAATAAATCTATTATATACTTAGTTTTGCTTTTTACATTAAAGCTTTCATGCCCTAATCAGGCTAAAGACAATTATTAAATAATATTAAGACTGTCTGTCCACAATGGAAAACTAATTTACTACAATCAGTGGCCATATTTGTTATATTTGCTATTAAAACTATAATCAATACCTGATGCCACACTTCATCACACTCTGTACAAAATGAATAAAAACATAAGACACAATGAGCTAAATTTAATGAATCTTCAGCTTCTTTTATAACAGGTTCACTACATCTTGGACACCAAACTATATCTTCCATATGAGTTAATGATTTCTAAAAAATATGAATATACATCACTGAGTTATGGTATTTACCATAGTCTAAGACTTGTTAATTGTATAAATATACATCATAATTTATCATTTTTATTATAGTCTTAGGCCTTTTACAAGAGTAAGAAATTATAGTAGGCCTATTGCAAAAAAATTGATGTTATTTATGTAAAAAAAACAGAAAGTATATATACCTGAAGCACAAGACGTTCCCATCTATCATAGGCCATCGGTGGTAAAACAGATTGTACTATATAGGGTGGTATAATATCATTACATTCTGCATCAGGACATCTATAATTATACACTTCAAAATCTTAATAATACAAATAGAAAAGACAAGTCTTTAAGCATAGACTCTAAATTGGATCTTTTGCTGAAAAACTTTATTCGTGGTAAGAAAAATAACCCTTCTCAAACTGCTTTGCAAAGCTCCTAAACCAAAAATTAGTTTCTCTAAATAAAGTCATATTTCATTAAAAGAATATAATCATCAAAATATTTACTTTCCAATGTGATAGAACTCAATTTCAGCTTTCTGAAGTAGCCTACATGGAATGAGAATTAGTAATACATGAGAATGTTAAAAAGAGCATGGAATTTGATGAAAATCACAGATTGACCAGAAATCAGATTTACTTTCTGAAAATTAATAAGGAGAGCTGAAATTGAGCTCTATCAGCTTATAAAGATTGTAACCTTGACAATCATCAGCTCACATTATTTGATAATTTTGTTGGAGATTAAAACTGGCAATCAAAACTTACTTCAATGATTCAACAGTACCAGCACTGACATGTAATTGACAATATTCTAACATACAGTCACGACAATAATGATGACCACAATTACCAATACGATAGAAATGATTACCAGGTAACCTATCAAAACAAACTCCACAATCTTGATCATTGCGACAAAATTCAACTTCTATTTGTTGGCGATTATATCTACAAGAACATAAAGTTGTTATAGCATAATTAAATAAAAGTATTAAATGAAAACGATGTAGATCAGGGGTCAGCATAATGTGACGAGATGACCTGAATCCCTCAATTACCGCTTTATCAAAAGAATTGAGTGGTAAAAAATTTTAACTCACTGTAGCATAGAAATTATATTATGGCCTAGATCAACTGATTCTGGAAAAGCTCTAGGATCATCTACATCATCATTATTGAATGGTTTTATTATAACACTATCTTCTAATCCTAGAAAACTAATAGATATAACATTACATATAACATCCATCTTCTAATCCAAGCAAACTAATAGATATAACATTACATATAACATCTATCTTCTAATCTTAGAAAACTAATAGATATAACATTACATATAACATCTATCTTCTAATCTATCTTCTAATCTTAGAAAACTAATAGATATAACATTACATATAACATCTATCATCTAATCTTAGAAAACTAATAGATATAACATTACATATAACATCTATCTTCTAATCTTAGAAAACTAATAGTTATAACATTACATATAACATCTATCATCTAATCTAATAGATAGAACATTATATACAACATCTATCTTCTAATCTTAGAAAACTAATAGATATAACATTACATATAACATCTATCATCTAATCTAATAGATAGAACATTATATATAACATCCATCTTCTAATCTTAGAAAACTAATAGTTATAACATTACATATAACACCTATCTTCTAATCTTAGAAAACTAATAGTTATAACATTACATATAACATCTATCTTCTAATCTTAGAAAACTAATATTTATAACATTACATATAACATCTATCTTCTAATCTTAGAAAACTAATAGTTATAACATTACATATAACATCTATCTTCTAATCTTAGAAAACTAATATTTATAACATTACATATAACATCTATCTTCTAATCTTAGAAAACTAATAGTTATAACATTACATATAACATCTATCTTCTAATCTTAGAAAACTAATAGATATAACATTACATATAACATCTATCATCTAATCTAATAGATAGAACATTATATACAACATCTATCTTCTAATCTTAGAAAACTAATAGATATAACATTACATATAACATCTATCTTCTAATCTTAGAAAACTAATAGATATAACATTACATATAACATCTATCATCTAATCTAATAGATAGAACATTATATACAACATCTATCTTCTAATCTTAGAAAACTAATATTTATAACATTACATATAACATCTATCTTCTAATCTTAGAAAACTAATAGTTATAACATTACATATAACATCTATCTTCTAATCTTAGAAAACTAATATTTATAACATTACATATAACATCTATCTTCTAATCTTAGAAAACTAATAGTTATAACATTACATATAACATCTATCTTCTAATCTTAGAAAACTAATAGATATAACATTACATATAACATCTATCATCTAATCTAATAGATAGAAGATATCTATCATATATACTGTTTTATATCTTATCATATGATGAGAATACAGCAATACTTTTCTTTAAGAGTTTCATGATGAACTGGACCTTTGATAAGTAAGAAAAAAGGAAATTGAATAACATGATTGAAGAAAATCCTAATTGAAGAAAAAAAATCCACCATAATACCTTAACACATTATTTTCCAGCCAATCTATCCATGTGAATATAATAACCATATGATCATTCTCTTTCCATAATGTATCTAAGTTTTGACACAATGCAGTAAGGTGTACAGGACTGAGCCATGATGATGACAATGTAAATACTGGTGAATCTGTAGAAGGATATGTTGGTGGTAATGATATTTGTAGACTAAGTGGTGCTAAATATGATATCTCCAATGTTGAAACCCATCGCTGCCCTGAAAGTAAAAGATGAGTTTTAATTATATCACAGAAATTGGGAGACTTAAGGGAGACAATTTGGAGTAGTAAAAACATTTTTAATTACATTTCTAGGTATAAAGTTACATTTGCTTGATTTCCTATAATATGATTATTGGATGTTAGCTTTTTTTCCATTTTATAACTAGAATTAGATTGACAAATCATTGATGGTCAATATAATAATGGAAATCTTAAAATGGTTATTTTCTATCGTCTTATTAAAGTTTTAAATATTTCTCAACAAGAAACACTCTTCTCCTTGGTTCTTATAAGATTGATACAATCATTACTAATTAATAGGTACATTACTAACCCGAATCTGATCTCATAAAGTTAACACCCGGTAAAACAGGTGATGTATCATTAACAGAAGCACCAGTTGTCTCATTAGGTAACATAATATCTACTGTTACTGGTTTAGTTTGTTCTTGAATGGGAACAAGTAACTACAATAACAATAACTTTCCTTTTTATCCTTGTTTAAAGCATCATTGTACACATAGTATTTTAACTATAAATGCAGACCATATAATCATGAAAGGAATAATACCATATACCATATTTGTGATTATGAAGTGAATTGAGAAACAGGTTTCGCCTACATAACCCAGTTCTTTGAATTCTCATCTCATTTATTCATCTCTAAGGTTTATTCATATTATCAAATGTTGGCAGCATGAACCACAAAGATAGTAGATTGCAAAAGCCATAAAACTTACATGTAGAAAAAATAAACCTTTACCATCATCATCAGGCTCTGACAATACTTTCATTCTTTCTAAATCGCCTCCATCATAAAATGATACTAAGGCGTCTACCTATCATTAAGATAGCTTGCCAGGCAAAGTAATATACGCCCAAAGGCTGCTTTGATCTTAAATGAAAATATTTGGCAGTACAGTAACAATTACCAGTATGAAATATTCAACCTTCAGACATACACTTCTATTGAACTTTTTGAGGCGATACCGAATAATATTACAAAGTTTCATCAAAATCTGTCAAGAATTCTAGAGTGTTTACAGACTAAAACGTTTTTAAGAACAAGGGCAATAACTCATACCAATTATTTTTCGATTTTTCTGATTTTCAATAGGCTTCATTCTTAGGTGACAAAGAACACTCACACCAAGTTTCATCAAAATCTGTCTCTAATTGAACCTTCTACAGCGTATACGAGCTAAAAATTGAACGCGTTTTTCAAGATCCAGAGCAATAACTCATACTAATTATTTTTTGATCTTTCTGATTTTAAATAGGGTTCATCCTTGGGTGATAACAAACACTCACACCAAGTTTGATCTAAATCTGTCAAAAATTGTGCCATGTTTTAAGAACAAGGGGAATAACTCATACATTTTTTTTTTCGATTTTTCTGATTTTCAACAGGATTCATCCTTTGGTGATTACAAACAACCATATCAAGTTTCATCGAAATCAGTCAAGAATTGTGCCTTGTAAGCAATTGTGGAGGACGGACCGACATGGGTAACAACAATATACGCCCCCCATTTCATGTGGGCGTATAAAAAGAGATTGTTTGTTAAATTTGTGACTCAATCCTCCTGCAAGTTAATAAAGTGTCTACTCTTCTGTTCTCTATTTAACCTTCTTTGAAAAAGAGTGACTCATAATTCTGTACTAGACAAAAACATCTAACTGCACATTGACTGGAATTTTCAATCTTCATTAGCCTGAATCGAAAACTTGGATATATTTAATCACATTTTGTTTCTTATATAAAGTAACTAATAGGCCTACACCTAAATACTTAAATATTTTCATAAATCATTCCATTTACTGGAGATATATTAATTACCTCATCTCTTTGCTCCTGAAGATTTCTGTTATTTTCTTCTGATTGAAAATATTCCACATATACATCTTTTCTTATATCCCCTTCTATATCGCCACCCTCCTCAAAATTATCTCCTACAGCACATGCCATTTATCTGAATTAGAAGATCAATATTGCTTCATTTGATATTGACACTTTACTTGTTTGTATCAGATAGGGATAATGATGGCTAGCAATTCAAAAATATGTGAAATTATGCCAGTATACCAGTATTTTCAATTTCCAATTATATATACATGTAGGTCTATACATGTATATAGCAAAGGTTAGAGGGCCTCAGTTTATTTTTGCATTGAATTATTTAAACCCATTTGAGCGACTGAAACTGGCCAAGAGAAAAAAATTGAGCTAGAAACTCTTACAAAATCAATTTTCTATTTCTGCAAGTGGGTAATTCTATCACCTGGCTTACCGGTCTCTTGTTCTGGGGGTGTAGCTTTAGCGAGACAGATTGAGACACTCTGTAGGGTAGGTTCTTACTATTGACAAAATAATCTCTTCATGAAAATACGTAACTCCTTTATCATTACAATTAACGAACTTCTTCCACAAGACAATGATGTAATAAATGAACACCGCCTAACATCAAGAGGGGGTGGGATAGCAATAATATTCAGAAAGTCGCTTGCATTAAGAAGCGATACCAAGGAAAACAAAGTATTTAAAAGATTCGAACATATTGATATACGTTTCACACAAAATAACGTTACTGATGAAATAATAGCCATTTACAGACCGCCACCTTCCAGTAAAAACAAACTAACGTTTCAAATTTTTGAGGATGAATTTCTGGACCTGATCTCAAATTTATCCCTATCATGTGATCATCTTTTGCTTTTTGGTGACTCATGTCGACAATGCTAGTGATTCTTATGCTAAGAAATTTAAACAAATATTGGATAATTTTGGATATAAACAATTGGTACTTCAACCACTCATAAAAGTGGGCACACCCTGGATTTAGCTATATGCAAATTATCGTCATATCTCATAAAGGATGATAGCGCACATAATTATGAGCTGTCAGATCACTTCAGTGTGTTTGCTGATCTGGAGATGTCCAAAACCGCGTCCAACGAGAACTGAAATAGTCTACAGGAAGTGTCGAAATATTGATTTAAATCAATTTGTGGAGGATATCAACATCAACTCTCTTTCGGAGAAGGTGTCCAACATCGTCTCGTTGGATGATAGGTGGTCATTTGTTAATAACACCCTAAAAGATACTTTAGATAAACATTCTCACATATATCTCTATACAAGGCCTTTCTCCAATCTACCTAAGTGATTTGATAGAAACTAAAAAAGGTCTGTGTACACGTTCAACAACTAGAAAAGATCTTGTTGTGCCTAAAACTTTGCGAGCTTACCCTGGTGATCGTGCTTTTTCAGTTGCAGCACCTGTGCTATGGAACAACCTACCAAAACATGTCTTAAGACACACTTATTTACTTGTGAATACCAGAATATGGCGACTATGAATTAGAATATCAACTCCAAAACAAGAACTGGTCTCAGAAACTATTTTTTTTAGCTAAGCTAATCAGTAGGCTAATAGTGTTCACAGCTCGGTGGCGAAATCCATTCGCGTTTGAAAGTTAAAATGATAACTCGTCTAGGCTCCTCTGGAAAATTTTGTCGCCCCAGTGCTCAACCCCCTCACCTGATGTTTCCTACACGCCACTATAGCCATAGAACTATATATAACCTATTACAAATCTATGCCGTAATCTAGCAAAGATGGCCTTGTTGTGAACACTATCTCCTGGCGGCTTATTAATCTGCGTTAATTGTCAATTAAAATAAAACTGATACGTATGGTATATAGCGTTAATGCGTGTTCAAAACAAAGCAATGAATTTTTTTCTAGGTGTGAGCAAATGTACCCCAAATATTGCATGTAGAGGTGGCCTGGATTTCGCGTGTCGCCAAACAAAAACAGAATGTATTAGACTACTTTGCAAGCTGTATCGAAATGACCTACAAAGACACATCTTTTCTCTACATAGGTATATGTCGACTGAAAAAAAAAAATTTTCGTGGTATGATACTGTTTTAAATATTGCAAATGTTTTAAGATTAAGAGAAATTGTTTTTTTACCTATCGATGTCCATCAAAAAAATTGTAAATATAACGAAAAGTAAATTAATTAAGGCAGATTCAGATGAATGGATTAAAGAATGATTTAATGATCAATGCAATCCTAATGGCAATAAACTTCGAACCTATATCGCCAGTATAAATCAAACCGTATGTTAGAATCCTATGTTTCAATTGAAAGTATTTCTAGGGCAACCAGAAGGTTAATATGTCAATTGAGAAGTGGTCGTCTCCCTTTGACAATCGAAACTGGTCTTTACACTAAACCGAAAATACCGCTTTAAGATCGAACATGCAATGTTGTAATGGAGATGTCATTGAGGATGAATTTATAACGTTTTCAGAATTGCCCTGTTTGATAAGTGTTTAAGTATTAACCCCGATTTCAACCTGCCTTTGTTAAATAAATTATATTTTATATGAATTCCGCTGGAGCACAAATTCAATTAGGAAATTTTTTTTAGATGTTTTTGTTATCTATTTTCATGAGTGATATGTCTTTTAACAATTTATACTCTTTTAATACAATATTTGTTTTATTCTGTTTTACATGATTAGCGTTTTTAACATGTTACATGTACTTTTTTGGTTTTATACTGTCAAATTTTACTTTATTTTCAATGTATCCCAGAAAACTGAACAAATTCTATTTAACTATTACATTTGCTTTTGTTAAAATTGTTTTAATTGTACTGTGTCTCGTAAGCCTCTTTTGGCTGGAAATCTCAATGTTTTAAATTATTCTGTATATATTTATATTTTAATGATTTGTGACACTTATTCAATAAACTGACTTATTACTATTTATAAAATATCAATATAAATTCTGTCTACCTAATTAGCCTATCAATAGAAGCGTGAACCGTGTTGGAATGTTATATTTTATGGAACAACAATCACTGATTAAAGTTTCATACAATGTTTCGACGTGTTTCCCCCGTCGTCCTCAGGCACATAATCAGAAGAAGTGATGGGCAAACTATATATACATTAATGCTTATTATTAAGAACACACAAGAGATAAATGGTTTATTGATACATTACATTAAATTTTAACAGGTACAATAAGAGGTATATAATTCTTAAAATAACATACAGGCTGATTAATTCAAATAATAGAAATAAAGTAAATGAATTAATAAAGATTAATTGAAGATTAAATAAACAACTATTGCTGGTATTGGAGACTTTTATTAATAGAAATTACATTGTTTCAAATAACTAACTATAGTTAAAGTTGAAATATTTTATTAAATTGAATACATTTATGAATATGAATAATTACAAGTTGATAAGTTTATCATATGCATACGATAAACGAACGCATTCATCTCTGTTAAGGTCAGGCTGATATCTTCTGATGTGGATAGCTTCATGGAGTCTCCTGGTTTTTATCTATGTGCTTATTGATTGTCAGTATGTTGGTGTTGTCAAAGTTGACTTTATGTCCTGTTTTTCTTCCCATATTAAGATGTTCATCCACAACATCCTTCATTGCCGGGCTTGTCTTCATGGTCTTTGAGTCGAACATAGACTCCTGTGAAAGTTCATATATAGGGGAAACAAAGGGACCCCTTGATGTTCGACTCAAAGACCATCAAGACAAGCCCGCCAATAGTTGTTTATTTAATCTTCAATTAATCTTTATTAATAATAACACGTCGAAACGTTGCATAAAACTTTAACCAGTGATTGTTGTTGCCTAACGCTGTGTCTATTATATATCGTACTCACAATTGCTAAATGCTATTCAAAGACTTGATTCTTAACTAGTGTTGGGCATCAACGTAACTTCCATTTTGTTAGTATCATGTGACTCTGTGACCTTTTGACTTTTGGCTGCCCACGCAGTATTAGATGACTGATGCTAGATTAGTTTCGCCAAAAAAAATTTGATGGAACCGGAGACACAACATAAAATTAGGGAGAAAATGATGGTATGGCTGAACTATAAAAATATTCATCTTTTCAAATATACCTAGATTTTGCAGATCCATGGTGTGGAAAAAAACGTATAAAAATCAGATTTTTAAAAGAAAATTCTTAGGCTATGAAGTGGTACAAATATTTAGCTTTTCGTTTGTTTGTTTGAATAGATAGAGGTTTCTTATTCTTTTATTCATAGCCTATAGGGGAAATTAATAGCATCGATTTGCCTATTCCAATTTTCCGTTACTGTGCTTTTTATGTCACTATCGCACAGGTTCTTATAATACGCCAGTTAGGAGTTCGTCACGTGCCGATAAAGTCACGTGATTTTCACGTGAAGCGTGAATGTTTTTGCAGGCGAGAAGACTTTCTCTTTCAATTTTAAAGTACTAGACGTAATACGTGATCTTAATAGCCTACTAATGAATATGACATCGATAATTATGATGTGAAGACACTTTTTCAGCAAACTTGGCCTTAGCACATTCCATTCTTTTAACGAAGTAGGGTAGCATCGGAGAGAAGGTTACGCAAGAAGCCTCATCGGGATAACTTTAAGGTTAATTAATCATCGGGTGGCGTTTTTATGTATATGCGTTAGTTGCGTAATCCCCACCAATATTCAACCAGGTTTGTAGCTAATTTGAAGGCCTGCTGAAATTATTGAGATAATAAAACGTTTGTACCAGTTTTCATTTAATATCTGGAGCGTGTGTCGCATGTTTTGATTATTGCAATTTTATTCGAAAAACAATTTTATATCTGATTTCCAGACATTATAGTGTCCTTGGGACGTTTCAGCTTCACTTGTTTTAACTGTTTCTTGTCAACCTGTTTACAAAACAGTTAGGGATTTGTGGTATGTCCCATTTTCATAATTATTATCAGGGCGAGACGTCAGTAGTATATGAGCTCATAGATTGGTCGCATGGGGATTCCCCATTCCATTTCATTTCATGGGGAAAATGTGACCAATATATAAGCTCCCAAAAAAAGACCTAAATTCCCTACATTTCATAAATTCTTACAGCAAAACATCCTACATTTCCTAAAATTCTTTCATCCTACATTTCATAAATTCTTACACTTAAAAAAAGACCTAAAACACCTTCAATCAATTTCCTACATTCCATCAAAAAGCATATTACAAATACCCTTATATAAAATAACATAAGATCCGGTTTTTAATAGCCTCGTTTTAAGTAATGTTATTTTTAGTCTAGAAAAGGGAGATAACTCTTTTTTGGATAAGACTAAATTAATTCATTTAAAAATAGGATGAGTTTAATTCTAAAACACGAACAACACAGATTCGAAGATTATTCGGGCGACGGTATCTTTTCTTCATTATTTTCTCTAGGTAAAATAATAATTCTAAAAGTAGCTAGCTTTGTTTCAAACAACAAATCAATCCTTTCATCCGAAGCGAAAGCCGTCGGTTCAATCGCTCAAGCGGGAAAGAGTATAAGCGACACAGTGAAACAATCTAACGAGTTGAAAGAATTAGAGCTAATAAGAGAACTTCGAAACAGGAGATTAGAAGAAAGGAAAGGAAAAGGTTTTAAAGTTATAGGATAAAAATGATAGTCGCTCACGCTCCAAAAACTTATTTCGGTTCAGGAGATGTACAAAAATCATTGGGTACTCTTCCTGGATTTCCATGGGCGAAATATCCCGGAGAAAAACATTTTCCCGGTCATAATTATACCGGTCCAGGTACTAGGTTAGATCTGCGATTAGACGAAAACGATAAACCCAAACCAGGGGAAGAACCAGTCAATAGAGTTGACGCCGCCGCGCTTAAACACGACATACTATACAGAAACAAAGACATAAACTTCAGACACGAAGCAGACAGACAAATGATAATCGAACTTGAAAATATTCCAAATCCAACTTTCAAAGAGAGAATGCAAAGAGCATTAATCATTAAACTGTTAAAAGCAAAGATGAAATTAGGCATGCGATTAGCGGATGAAATTCACAAAGAATTTGGAAAAACTAAAAACTTTTTAAAAGTAAAAGTGTTTGAAAAAGATGAAATATGGTCAGCCGATTTAATTCATATGCCAGTCGAAAGAAGATTTAAATATTGCTTAACAGTTATAGATTTGTATACGAGATATGTATGGGTTATTCCTTTGAAAAACAAAATGGGATTATCAGTCAAACACGCATTTGAAACGATTATGAAACAATCTAACCGACATCCAGAAAAACTGTGGGTAGATAAAGGAAGTGAATTTTATAACAAAAATATGAAATCTCTGGGATTTGAAATTTACAGCACGCATAACGAAGGTAAAGCTGTAGTAATAGAAAGATTTAACAGGACTCTAAAAAATAAATTATTCAAAAAATTCACGGAATTGAAATCTCAAAAATGGCTTAAAATATTATCATAGGTTGTAGATGAATACAATAACAAAATTCATTCATCTATAGGTGTCACACCAACACAAGCCTCGAGTAATCCAAATATTATAAAGTCAATTAACGCGCAACATAACTACGAAAATGAAATAAAGAATTTAAATATCAAACCCAAATTTAAAGTCGGAGATCGAGTTCGTATTTTCAAATATAAAAGCAAATTCGAAAAAGGTTACGTTGGATACTGGACAAACGAAATATTCATCGTTGATAAAGTAAACACCACATCACCTCCGACATATGAATTAATCGATCAAGACAAAGAACAAATCATAGGAAGGTTTTATCAAAACGAACTTCAAAAAACCGACTTTTAAAAATGAATGAATTTGATAGAAGATTAAGAGATGTAGACAAGCATTTTCGCTTTCTTAAATTTAAATTTATATTCAAAATATTATTGAATGTGTTTTATCAGAATGTAATACAATTTTTTCAAACAAAAACGACTTTTAAAAATGAATGAATTTCTCGATAAATATGGAACCGATACAACTATAAACTTTCAACTTATGAGATGGGCGAATGAGTTAAATATATCACCGTTTTATTATTGTATGAGAGATGAAATAAATGATCTGAAATATAAGAAAGGTAAATTTTACGCTATAACAAATATACATACTTCCGATCAAAAAGGAGTTCATCATTCTGCTTTGTACAAAGACTCTGACTTTTATTTCTTCGATTCTTATGGATTAGAACCCACTGAAGAGATAATCCAATTGACTAATAAACCAATCAAATGTTCAACATTTCAAATTCAATTACCGGGACAAAAGTTTTGTGGTCAGCTTTCACTTTGGGTTTTATATCAGTTGAGTTTAGGAAAACATTTCGAAGAAATTGTAATAAATTTAACTCAATAAAAATGGCGAACAAGTTTGGATTGGGTTATTTATCTTTAGAAACTAAAAAAGCTAACACTACAACGTGGATAAATAAAGCGAAAGCTTACTTTGTGGATCAAATCGGAGATACTCTTCAAGGTGATTTAGATATGAACAATTTTAGCATAACTAATTTAAAGTCTCCGGAAAACGATAATGATGCTGTTCACAAGAAATATTTACGGGAACAAATAAATTCAATTGAAGTAAATAAAAACCATTTAGAAGATAAAATAAGTAATGTGAAAAGATTCTTCAAACGTCAACTAAATAATAAAAATTTTGTTAATGATACTAAACTACAACAAGAGGTAAAAAGATTAATAAGTTTTATTCAAAAAGAATTGGTCAACGTAGCGAATAAAACTGAGTTACAAAATTTAATTTCATTAATATCTAAATTAGAGGATAAGATTACAAAACAAAAATTAGACATTCAACAATTGATAGATAACATTCCAGATGAAAATGAAGATACGTTTCAACAGGAATTAAATGCTCTGGAAACTAAACTTAACAGTGAATTACAAAAAGAACTAAGAAATATTAAAAAACAAATACAAAACATAGATGATAGCGAAATCAAAACCTATATTCAACAACAAATACAAAACATAGATGATAGCGAAATCAAAACCTATATTCATCAACAAATACAGAACATTGATGATAGTGTTATTCAACAACAGATAACCACTATTAATAACCTAGTTTTAAAACAAGACAAAAATATACTCGCATTAGAAAAGAAGTTTCTCAAGAAGGAATCATATTATTTCACTCTTCCATTTGGAAGTTTGACACGTGACGATGCTTCTATTACTGATTATGATGAAAGAACAAAAGAGTAG